CCGTAATATTTCATATTGTAATGGCTTTGTTTCAACCATTCTACGGACCAGTTATTTGTGGGTGTTATATATTATTTGTCAGTAGGGTACAGTGAGAAGTTAAGACTATAAAATGGTTGCGAATTTGAAATATTTTATCATACTAGTTACCCCCTTTACAGATACCGAATTACAGTTTATTTCTACTTATTACATCTCATTATTGTGACAATATTGAATTAATTACTTTTCTGTAGAGACAAGACCTGTATTTGGAATTGGGTTCTCTCATATGATGGTCTCTTGGTTACATTACGTTACATTATTCTACTATTGTGTATCTTCTATATTACTTGCTACGTTCAATTACCATCGGTGTTTCAATGTGTGCTCTCAGTCCATCCCACAATAATTATATACGTTGTTCGTTTTGGTGTTATTAACTACCAAGCATTTGCTGAATGTTGTTAGTTAGAATTTTATAATAGTTGAATAATGACTGTACTGTTGAAGCAGTTCATGGGTTTTTGCGATTTGTTCGTGCTTATAAATGTCTTTTTATTATCATATTGGTCTATATTGGTGAACCTCTAATGAGTAGTCCAGAAATTCGATTCCTGCCGTTATGATCCTTATATGCAGATATGCATATGCCAGAAGCCTATTATTGTTTATATAGTCTTATTTTTACAGACAAAAGTCTGAGGTGCAGATGTCACATCTTTATATGTATTAATATTTCTATAGTTGGTATGGTACTATTCACTTGTTGATCGTGAATTACCAGTATTTTAAAGTGTTGTAGATGATGGCCGTACCCCATTCTATAGGGCGGAGAGTCAAGCACTTCCCCCGCTGTCGTCTGGTCCACGCCAAACAAATAATCTGGCTTCTGGCTACACGCTTGCTGTCGAGGGTGTACGTTGTCCTATCACCTCTGCCGCTGAACACAGACCGCAAGCCAAAGAAGGTTATCCATGTCTGTCAGCACCCCCGACGTCTACATCTACAGGTGCTCACGACCCCCGCATACACGCTGTGACTCTGTCGGCATACAACATCTTTAGACAGCGACCAGTCAACACCCAAGCAGTGTCAAGAAACGTCTACCTCTCGCTTTGCCACCCCAGCCGTGGCCCAGACTGTGTGCATAGGCCGTGTGTTCAGACATTAACTTTTTCGGTTAAGGGTTCAAGAACGTTGGACAGCGTTCCGCCAATTGACTTTTCGAAACAAGAAAGGAGCCAGTGAATTCGATTGGGACCAGCGACAAAGGAACTTTGGTGAATGGTGGTGCCATATTGTGGTCATGTGCAGTGACATTTGACATTTATGCATCGCTAGTAATTCGTTCTACATTGTATTTGAATAATATTTCGTGATGATTATGCTTTGTGGTTATACGAAGTAACATAGGATCATTTCTCGTATTCTTTAGCATGTAAATACATTTTTAATGTTAAGTATTCGCTGTTTTCCGGATATTTATAAAATTTTGAAATGGGTTACAATTTAATATATGGAATGATCGATCCTGTTTTACTTCTATTGTGTTGATTGTGATTGTATTTTACATCTCAGACCTGAACTCATGCTTATGTCTTCCGAGCTGTGAGCAGCTCTTGTCCACAGGCGGAGGATGTTATAAGGTTAAAATGCGTCTAAAAAAACATTAGAAAATGGTAACAAATTTAACCGTTTATAGCTGCAATGATGAGTTGCATTAGATATAGTTTGTGACAGAGAACTTTTAGTTCGAAAGGAATTAATAGATAAAGACATTTCACATTTATCACAAGAGTATTCTGGACATTTCATATTTATCATTGGATTGGTTCCATGTTATAGTCCATTAGTTAATGAAACAAGCAGAGATATTTTTCATTTGTAGCAATCGGAGTGAGTCACAAAATCAATAGAGAGATGATCAATCTGGCTCGTAGGCTTCGGTATTTTTCCGATTACGACACACATGAGTTCATGGTCAGATCTAACTTTTAACGAATGAAAATGAGGTAGTGTGACATGTGACAAAGACAGGCCAGGCCCGAATTCTATAAAATGATAGATTCAACATTAGGAGAGGAGAGCGCGGTTTGCAATCGATCGAGTCGAATCCCGATCGATCTAAGTTTTCGCCATTTAGTGACGAGTCTGGCCGGTCTGATCCTGTCCTGTATTGATAGATGGGCTGAGAGTAAGTAAAACCATGTGAGTAAAAAGCTAGTGTTACGTTTCTTAATATGCGAGTATGAGTGCTGATGGAGACAACTTGGAGTAAGCGTCTTTAGACAATCACTCCTGGACGGAGCTGAACCGATGCTGACAAGGCGAGTTGCAAAGTCATGGCTTAATTGACCATGATGACCAGGAACGGCAATACTTTCAGTAACTGTAGAAGGGTCGCACTTGACGCCCGAAAGCAGTTACGACAATAACATCCGTGTAAAAGTTGGGGATAACACATTGAGGCAAGAAGAAGGCATCCCCAAGGTCACCAATGACGCTCCCCTTCTTGTGGATCTGTTTTTTTATGCTTGGATAGGCAAAGTCAAAACAAGGTAATTTGGTCAAGAAGTTTAACTTAAGCTTCAGGTATATTGATAATCTGATATCGTTCAATAACCATCAAATAGCCATTCCCTTCCGCTGATTTACCTACCCGAACTCATCTTCCCGAAGCAAGTGAGTTAACTGACTATAAAAGTCCAGTTTCCACCCTTGCCGAACTAGGCTGGTATTATTATGGAGTTACATTTTGGCTGGACTAACCAGTCTATGCATAGTCAAATCAAAATCGCGCACTGAAATCGAAATCCAGTTCGTAAAGTGTCATGCAGATTTCGGTCGACAGCAGGGTTTGCAAAGCATGTGCACCGTTGTCAACAGATATTTTCTATATCTTTTCATGTTTTTAATCAAGGTGCTCACGTGATTTGATGCACTTCGCGATGTAAGACTCGTTTGATCACAATATAGATCTTGATTATCGATCAGATCGTCTTGACTGGGCGCCACCGTTTTGTTTGAAGCGAATGCAAGTGATACGAGAGGTTGAATCTGATTGGTCAATAGGAGAGGCATAGAAAGGACATTACTAGTAATAGCCACTGGTGGCGCTACGATCGAGCCCAGGAATTCCAGCCTAGTTCGGCAAGGGTGGAAACTGGATTTTTAAAGTCAGTTAACTCTCTTGCCTCGGGAAGATGACCCGAACTAGAAACAGTTTGAACGCCTCATCCGTTTCATAATGATTCAGAGTGACAATACATTCTTCATAAGACTGTATGACAACAGGGATGACTTCAACTTTCCCTTCATGTCGAGCAATTTTCCAGCAGCTCTAGCCTTTGGTGTTTACATTTCACAACTTTTGAGATACTGTCAAACAGCTACTTTTACGTGTTTAGGTTTACAAAATGTACATCCATATAAACGTAATTTATAAGCATAAAGAAATATAAAGTTAGAAATGAAATAATTAAAGTAAAACCTTATCGTCTTATCCTTTGTGACGGTTTCCGTCATTTGCAATTAAGGATTGCTGATTGACGCCCCAAGCGATATGCCACCTGTCATGCATGTTAAATCTCAGCTTCATTATAGATTGAGAAGCATAAATGTCAATTTATTCAATTAATTAATCAATTTATTCATTCATTGCTTATATTGTCAAATCAGAATGATTTACGTATTTATGTAAATGCATTCACAATCATGAACATAACTGTATACTTGTACTTATGTAAAAGGGAGAGAGACAAGGGAGGGGTGGCAATCGACTCGGCTCGGGACAACGGTCCACACTCTTTGTAATAAGGACAGGAGGTACAGAAAGACATAATACTTATGTCTCATGTGCGATCTCCTATGGTAGTGACAATACAACCAAGCATGCCCTTTCTACCAAGATTTCAAAGAGCGTCATAAGGCTCCTGCTCAGCAGCAGTTTGATCAAGGTTACAACATTCAATGCCTCAGTGAAGCTTTTAAAAAGTTTTATGGTTGACATGGGGAGGACTTTTCCAAATTTGACTCATCATTGACAATAATGATATCTGATACAATTCCCTATTTGACTTGTACTATGCTCCCGTGTTTTAGTCGGATATCATACAATCGACTCTGCTTTTAGCAGAGATTTCTCTTGAATATGGAAAGGGTTTTGTCGCTTTTATTTACAACAAAAGTTGTTGAATCAAGTTTTCAACATTCAAGGCCAAGGCAAATTAGACGCGTCAGTGGCAAAACTGATGTCCGATGCATTTCCCTATTTTGACTTTGCATATTATGTTCCCGTGTTATTCAGGTGAACAATTGACTTGCCCTTGCATGTGTTTGTGACGGGTGCCACCTCACTATTTGATAGTGATTCATAAATACATGCTTATTGCCATAATCGTACAATGGCTGCTTTTTGCTGAGATTTCTTATGGTTATGGTGTGTGTGTGTGTATGTGTGTGTGTGTGTGTGTGTGTGTGTGTGTGTGTGTGTGTGTGTGTGTGTGTGCGCGCGCGCGCGCGCGCGTACCTGTGTGTTTGTGTGTGTATGTGCAATATTCCAGCTGACAGCCTGTATAAAATCGACAATGTAGCCATTGATATTTATGACCTAGGGTACGATGACACTCTGTCAACCAACCTTAATTTGAATGTATGGCCTCTTAATGTCACACCCTGCATCTTCGATGAAGCCGATTATGAAAAGAATTATGGCTAGGAAATGTGTACGCATAAACATCGATCATCATATATGTAAATCGCATAGGAATCCTACTGCAAATATCACTGCAGATGACCCATGGTGACTTTCTTCCATGCCCAATGAAAGTACCCAACACAACAACATGACTCGCAAGCTGTTGCATCCTCCAAGTATGTTGTAAGGACCTATTTATACCTTCACTTAAGGTCAATATTAAAAGTAATTATAGCATGTTCGATCTTATTGTGATATGGCAGCAACACGCACGACACAAAGAGTAATATATATTCATGGATAGTTAGGGTCTAATATTCTGACGATTCCATTTCTCTCGTTGTTGAATGTATGCCACGAAGTTCCTCCATAACATAAAACAGTTGCACACTTGAAGAGCCGATAATTTGATATTCTTGTGGAGACGGGGAATGTTTGTTTTCTTGTTTTAATGTATGTGTTAAAGCGGTTGAACAAAGATCGGAGGCTTGCATCAAACCCAATCTATCAAGCTGTTATCATCGCTTCAGCGCATGTGTCAGATGCAATTGATGTTATTACACAACACAATATCATTCAAACATACAATGATTCCTGGTGGTGTATTAATTTTCATTCGGACGGACGTACTACACCATATTGAACACTGTAGGCTTGAGAACATGCTGGGGAGGGTATGTGGCGAAGACGATGTGTTGGCCAGATTTCCGAACTAATTTTAAGCAGGTGTGCTGAACGAGCTTACACCAAAGGAGTGTGACATTGTATGGAGATGAGATCATTTGGTGACAAGGTATTTTGTTTTTTCAATATCGACACATACACATATGAGAACGGAGATTCAGATGGTTTATTTATCTAGTGCGGAATGAAGGTTCACTACCCAGGGTTATGGAAAATCGAACGTAGAGGAGCGGCGAGGAACAGACTCTAACGTTTCAAGTTGCTCTTTGAAACAGTTATTTGGCTGATTATCGAAAACCCATCGTCAACAAATAACGTGATGTCTTTCACTTTCTTCATGGAAAGGTGCTTTGTGTGTATATTGTCGATACATATTTGCTTTTTAATTGTGATGTTTACAGCATTAGGGAATCACAAAGCAGGACACGAGGTCTGTGTAAGTGCGAACATTTGTGGCCCGTTAAAAGGTATTATAAACACTAACGTTGTGAAAGAGCATCGTCATAAACGACTACAACGTATTGATGACCCATTGTTAGAGGTGGTTCTTGAGAACACACAGCTGTGCCGAGGAGTTTCAGAGGTGGACGTTGTATTTATTGTCCACAGCTCTGCTGACCATTATCACCGTCGGCAAATACTTCGGACAATTTTCCAGAAGGAGAAAACATACCAAAATTACACATTACGACATGTATTTCTCCTTGGACAAAGGAACGATGTGAAAATCCAGGGTCATATCAACCAAGAATTCAGACAAAATGGAGACATTGTCCAAGGTGGGTTTCTGGACACATATGGTAACCTGACGTATAAAGCTGTTTTTGGAATAAAATGGATCAGTCACAACTGCAGAAATGTGAAATACGTCATCAAGATCGACGACGACGTTTATACTGATATCTATAATTTTTTTACACACGTGTACCATTCACATAAAGATGATACCAGAATACTATGTTGGGCATCGAACATGCCGTACGTCGTTATAAGGAGAACGGGGAAATGGAAAGTTCCGAAATTCGTTTTTAGACATTACCAATCCTTTCCTGTTGATTACTGTAGTGGTTTTGGTGTCATTATCCCCGGGAAGATAATTCCAGCGCTTTACAAGGTGGTGTTCATGGTGCCATTTCTTTGGATAGATGACGTATTCTTATATGGAATGGCCCGTGGTTTCATAACAGGATTGCAAGACCTTGGTGATGCTCATTATAAGGTTGGGGAGGAAGAAGTATCGACGTGCTTTAAAAAGCAATCGACGTGTGAACTTATCTTTTCCCTTATTTACCCAAACCGGATTTTGCCAACATGGAGACACCGACAAAGATATCTTCAAAACATTAAGAAACTTTGAAATGCTTACAACCCATCTTCTAAGGTTGAATAAGAAGGAAGTTCGTTGAGAACGTCGTTATAACTGTGCTTGTTGAAATTATCAATGATTATCGATGATTAAAATGAACGTATGCTTTATCTACATCGTGACACACCCTCGTGAGGACTAGGTAAGAATAAGTCGCAGTATCCTTTGCGTGTCGTAAGAGGCAACTATGGGGTAACTGGGTGTGGTGTGACGTGGCTGAATCAGTGTCGTCCAACCCCTACGGCGTTGTACATTGTTTATACTTTGTCACTGTTTTGTCTCGTTTGGATTCGATTTATGGAAAACCTGCAATATTGTTGTCTGCGGCGTAAAACAAAAGGAAATAAACCTTTCTGCACAAAAAAGGATCTATATAATTTACCGATGCAAGTAGTATGGACGGTCCAGGAATTGCTCGTCGTCTCCACGACCATCCGGTACCTGCACGACACCGACGGCATATACTGTTAATTTACTCAGTAGTTTGCGTATTTAATGTCATTTATGTTCTTGCAAATTTAGATGTTTGATAATTACGTTTGAATAGTCTACAGGTTAATGCATAAAATAAATACAACTTATTTGATGAACTTTGTAAGAAAGCACTCAACCTGTATTGGATGGCTCATGTGAAAATGTCGGGGGCAAATAGGTGTAATTTGGCTATATTGCTTTAAACGACTTCTTCTCTGGAACTAAAAGATAGATATCAACCATATTTGTTTGGAAGCATTCTCCGGTGGCGAGGATTCAAAATTGCACAAATGGTGGGGCTGACCCCAAAGGGGCTGAGGGGCGGGGCCAAATTGGGGTAATTTGGCTATAATGCTTTAAACGACTTCTTCTCTGGAACTAAGAGATAGCTATCAACCAAATTGAAGAATCCCTTGTTGGTGGGGATTCAAATTGGAGAAATGGAGGGTGAAGATCCCCACCTTTAACCATAATGGTACAATTGAGAATATAATGAGAGGAATGCACATATGCTACCAGGACTGGCCCTTCTGTTCATCTGTCCGGCACTCCCAAAAGAGTTAGAACCTTGACCATAACATGCTATGTTTTTGTTATGAAGAGAATAATACCTTTAATATGATTTATCCTGGATCATAACATGGTAACGGTTCAGATCTACATGTTACATTTGTATCTTGAGAAATACACATTCATGCTATCAGGTTTGACATCCACCCATTTTAAATGCTGACAGTCCAAATTACGAAATATTTGCAGTATTATATATACATGTACAATGCAAATGTGTATTTTGACATGATTGCGTAAATATCCAGGTGAGCAATACAGGCCCTATGGGCCTATTGTTGTTTGTTATATTTATAATCACAAATCGCTGCAATAACACCACTGGATCAGCTTGAAACAGAGCTGGATTTTCACGAGACATGTTGTGCCTTGTTGTTTGTTTGTTGTTTAACGCATTAATATTCCAGCTATGTAAAGGTGGTCTGTAAATAATCGAGTCTGGACCAGACAAACAAGTGATTGATAGCATGCTCATGGCTTTTCGCAATAGGGATACGATGACATGCATCAACCTATTCAGCAAGCCTGACCACCCGATCCCGTTAGCCGCCTCTTACGACAAACATAGTCAGCTCTTGCGGCACGCATGGGTTTCTGAAGATGGGTTTCAGATGTTAGATCGCAGAGGCTTTGGAACCCAAGGAGCTGGATCGCCAAAGTTTCTGCGTTAATCAGATAAATGGAATGTAAGCGCTCAGTTATTCGTCGGTCGTCATCACCATTTTTGATGTTGCTGACGTCACAGGCATTACAGGATGGGATCGTCTACAACGCTCTCCCTGCTACGCTTATAATTAAAAACTTCTGCTAACCTCTGTATGGTGACATAGGAAGAGGCATCCTTCCCTAGTGTTGTACTCATATCTTCATGGATGGCTTTTGGTGTTAAGCCCCTTTTCTGCAAGAACTTGATCACCGCACGTTTCCGAAGGATACCCATTTGTTAAAGGTTACAGAGCCCTGTCATAGCGAAACAGTTTGCTCAATTGCCTCAATTTGTGGATATACCTCTATAAGTGTTTATGTGACGATATGCGGCTTTTCCAAGAGGTCGGTTACATGACCGCGAAACTGGCGTTTACATTTGTGTGAACGACACATGTGTGTGAACGACACGCTACTTCCACATCAATGGGAATTGGGAATTCTCTAACGCGAATAAATACAGAAACGTTGTTTCTGATCACTCAGATCCTTTAATCTTGAACTTACCGTTTTAGCTTACATTGGGATAAGTCAAATAGTTTGATTGAATGCTTGTTCAAGAATTTCCTCGCTACGACCTATCCCAGTGAACAAAACGAAGAAATGCACATCCAAACTGTGGACTGGATCCGTGTTTAGACTTACAGGTAACAGCCTTGAACAATCTATAATTAATTAGCATCTATTTGACACATCTTTGTCATCACCTTTCAATGATTAACCAGTTGATCAATGAGGTCTAACACGTGTAATCGCCACAGGTTCACGAACACCTACGTTTATCCATTATGATGTCCTGTATTTAATGTAAACGTATTGCGACGCGCTGTCACTGTGACTTACTTACTGAGGTAGTTCCTTAGAGTCCTTTTTCATCTAATGATTATATTATTTGGATCTATTTGTTGTAACCAAACTACAAAAGATGTTCCTGTGGAGCAAGTTGAGCATACGAACGCTCATGTAACCTCTCCTTTTGATGAACTATTTTATTCCGGGTTACAGCTGGTTGTTGTATGGACGTCCGTGTTAACATGAAGTCACGCGTACTTAATAAGTGAGCGCCGCTTTTAACAGTATTCCAGTTATATCACGGCGTGTCAGCTTAATGTGGGAGGAAGGCCCAAAGTGATGCAGGTCTAAGACGTTTACCACTTCGGTGAAACCCACGAGCACGGGTATGGTGCTGACAAACCTAGAAACATAATTTGGGCGAACCGGGATTCGAACCCACAATCATAGGTTTCTGGCGTGCCCAAGGGACGCAACTCTGCGCGGCGCCTTAGGCGACTGGGCCCACCGTGCCCCCGCGTACTTATAATTAGTGACATTTTGAGATAGATATACACCCCTGTAGGTATAAACCATTGACATACAATTTTATAAGAATTGACTTTTTTTGTGTGTGAGTTCACTTGAGGATGAACCTTCATAGAATGAGAACAAAATTGTATGAACGTCGGAGCTTGCGACACAAAGTGACATTCAATTCTTAAATCACATCATGTTATGTCCACACCAAAAAAGTTTCACTGTTAAGCAATTCTCTGAGGTTCAGTCAACCCTCCTAGGTGGAGACCCGTGAAGGTCCGGGGTAGAATAGGTCTTCAGCAACCCACGCTTGCCGTAAAAGGCGAGTATGCTTGTAAGAGGAGACTAACGGGATCGGGTGGTCAGGTTCGCTGACTTGGTTGATGCATGCTCATCATATTAATCACTGGATTGTCTGGTCCAGTCTCCATTATTTACAGACGGCCATTATATACCTGGAGTATTGCTGAGTGCGGCGTTAAACAACAAACCAACCAATCAAATACTAGGTGGAATAGTGGTCAGTGCGGCGTTCACCAACAAACAAGTCACTTCTAAATCCCACCCAGAGATGTTTGTAAAGATACAATTATAGAACGAAAATATTTGAGTATGCGAATTGTTTGCTTAATCCCCTTTCTTTACCCCTATACTTCCGTACAATATTTGAGTGAGTGAGTTGGATTTAACGCCGCTTTTAACAGTATTCCAGTTATATCGCGGCGTGTCAGCTTAATGTTGGAGGAAAGCCCGAAGTGATGCAGGTCTCAGACGTTTACCACTTCGGTGAAATTGTGCTGACAAACCTAGAAACATAATCGGGGCGAACCGGGATTCGAACCCACAATCATAGGTTTCTGGCGTGTCCAAGGGACGCAATTCTGCACAGCGAATCGCGGCGCCTTAGACGATTGGGCCACCCGTGCCCCCTACAATATTTGAGTGAATACATGACACTTTAATGGATAACAGCTTCATTTATTCTTTTTCAAGACGCTTTAGGGCTACTTCTTGCTCAGTCATCAGGTCAATACTGGGTTAGCGCATAGAGTTATATATACATGATGATATGTTCACACAAGGTAGGATTAATATCCATAGATTACAATATAATGACGAAACATAAGCAGGGCCTATCAGGATTTGAACCAACGTCCATATATTTCTGACACGCAAAAGGGACGCAACTCTGCACAGAAGTGAAGGTGAGGTGAGTGTGTGTCGTGTGAGTGTTGCTGCTGAGATACCATGTCGCAGTTTAACATTAATACCCCACTCAAACACAGTATACTGAGTCAACACGCCCTTGTTTTAGCCCCTTAATGCCGAGCGCCAGGCAGGGTTAAAACAAGAACAATCTTTTTACGTGTTTTGGTATGGCGCTGACGGGGATCGATCCTGCGAACATGGATGAAAGATGGCTATCTAAATTCCGATATTCCAAACATTGTAATTTAAATGAAATATGTCTGAACTGAACCTATCTTTTTACACCTCCCGTTCTACTTCTCTGTCCTTCCTTCACCCTCCCTTCCTTTTTCTCTTTCGTTTCTTTCAATACCAAAAAAGTGGGGGAAATTATGCCTTTATTACTGGTAGTCTTCGGATCTTAGTATTTGGGGAAAAAATAATTTTACACAGGTTTATTGTTTTCATGCAAGCCGCCCGGTGTTGAGGAAAAATCACATAGTAATGATATGGACTTAGATCATGCAGTTTTGTTACTGCAGCACGCGCCATCCCGGATAGGAAATAGTCATCGATCCACATAAAGGGAACAAGCCTGGTCGCCTTGTACAGAGCTGGAGTTATCGCCCCTGGTATAACGACAGCAAAACCACTGCAGTAATCCAAAGGAAACAGATCATACTGCCTTAGATCGTCCTTATCAATGGACCACTTCCCCCCTCTGTTGACAAGCACTGTTGAACTCTTCCACGACCAACATAAAACCCTGTTATCGCCCGTATATTGATGATAAATATATGTGAAAAACATGCGCAAAGAAACGTAAACGTCATCGTCCATTTTGATGACGTATTTCACGTCCCTACAGTTGTGGCTGATCCATTTCAATCCCATAACAGCTTTATACGTCAGATTCCTATAACTGTCCTGAAACCGACCTTGGACAATGTCGCCATGTTGGTTGAATTCTTGGTTGATTATTTCCTGAATTTTCACGTCGTTCCTTTGCCCAAGGAGGAATACATGTCGTATGGTATAATTTGTGTGTGTTTTCTGCTTCTGGAAAATTGTTCGAAGTATTTGCCGACGGTCATAATGGTCAGTAGTGCTGTGGACAACAAATACAACGTCCACCTCTGAAACTCCTCGGCACAGCTGTGTGTTCTCAAGAACAACGTCAATATCAGCATCGTTAATACGTCGTGTTCGTGTACGACCATGTCCATTTGGCATTTTCTTGTATTCATCATCCAGGCCTTTCTCCCAATCTTCACGAAGATGATGTGATTCGCCTGAAGCTAAGATTGTCTTATTTTGTACTGGACGGGTTCCCAGGGCGATAACAATAACAACTGATACACAGATCTGAATACAGATAAGACACGTGATTGTGATGCTCCCAGCCAAACGCATGGTCGAAGGCCGCTTTGAAATGAAGATCAATGAATACTCATGTTGGTATATATGGCGTTGTATTATAACAGTAACAGCAGGGATTGATGTTATCTTGTCGACATGGTCTTATGTAGCCCGGTCATGTCCTGAAACATTAAAACTAACTAAGGACATGCTTTTGGAAACGAATAATCAGTTTCTTGTGGTGTCATAGAAAGTAAATCTCTCACCGTGACTTTTCTTATTTTGGTTTAAGGGTGTCTTTTAAAAATACAAGGTGGTGTTCTAAATAATGAATGTCAAATTTAATATGTTTTAGTTTTAGGACCTTAAAACTCTTGCCGGTCGAGTGCAATAAAGATTATCTTTAGACACACTGGATCATTAATTAAAGATGATGTAGGATACTTTGATTCATAGTAACTGCATTTAGTACTCATCCCAACATCAAACCTGCCCTAAGAGCAAGGGTTGTCACAAGGTCAATGAAGGTGAAAACATTCCAACACACATTGTCAGATATTGTTTGTGATTTAAGAAGAATTTCGCTTAATGATCATGAGTAGTAATATGATATGATATGATATGATATGATATGATATGATATGATATGATATGATATAATATAATATGAATAATATAATATAATATAATATAATATAATATAATATAATATAATATAATATAATATAATATAATATAATATAATATATTACATTATATTAGAATAATATAATATAATATAATATAATATAATATAATATAATATAATATAATATAATATAATATAATATAATATAATATAATATAATATAATATGAATGCTACAAACACATTCCCACCTTTTTGAAATAACAGGTCCTCCTTTCCTTTGCTGGTCCACATTAACCTATGTTGGTCGTGGGAGGCGACTAAATGGATTTTGTGGCCAGGCTCAGTGACAGGCTTCATTGCGTGCCATCATTGGTAACCCGACGGACATACAGATAGAACATTGCCGTGTACGGCGTTAAACAACAAACAAATATACAAACAAAACGAAATGTGAGGTTCGCCTTCCAGCTTCTGATTTTACCCGATGTGAAGTATTGAACACTTCAGAAGAGGGCAGCTGTTGTTCAGCTTGTCTACAGATCAATATAGATTTAATTATAGAGGGCCAGCAGCATATACGTTCATACGACTGAGTGAACATGAGTTAAACATGTTGTCTGTTGCGGAATGAATGGAATCAATTACCTAAGTATTACCCTTGGCAATGGTCCGAGGTCAGACACTGTAGCCACTCAATCCACATTCCATTCAACAAGCGGGTCGTACACTCTTCCTCGTATTGCAAACGGTAGGAGTAAACGTCTAATACATGCTACACTTGCCAAAAAAACCAGTCCCTGTGTGTGTGTGTGTGTGTGTGTGTGTGTGTGTGTGTGTGTGTGTGTGTGAGCGTGTGTGTGTGTGTTTGTGTGTGTGTATACTATATATTGTAATATGGCAGTGTAATGTATTGTTGAACAATGATTGTAACTGTATAACATTGTTTCTGTTGACACTCTGTAGAAGTTCATTGTATTGTATTTGGACAACGATTAGTTGTCAGGAATGTATTACTATTTAATGAAAGCAAGTGATGAAGGTATTATATTTAGATGCTCTAAATATCTGTAAATTTCCGCAATAGCATGGGTGTCAAGCGCAGTAGAAACATGTGGATTATTCTGTGATTTTCTACTGACACTGGACTGGTCTGGCACTGTGTAGAAAGTGCTTGAAGCTAGTTAGACTATATAAGGAGAGCGGGCGCGTGCGTGTCATCTCACATTTCATCTGACATTTTATCTGACATTACACCAAGATAACTTTTCGTGTGAAGATCACTGATCACACCGGATTCCTGACCCAGGCGGAACCATTCATTCAGTAACAGCCAGGTGGCATTGTCTTCAACAAGACTGAGCGAGACCGCTTACGGTGGGACTCACACAGAACTTTCGGAACAAGGCCAACATTCGTTTTTTACCCTGGCCGGCATGTTCTCCTGATATGAACCCCATCGGACATTTATGGGTTCACCTTGACCGACAGATCAGAAGACAACCAGCGGCACCAGTCAACTGTGAAGAACTGGAACGATGTCTCCTTGAGGAATGGCAGCGGATTACTCTCAGCGTCATCCGTGCGTCGCCGTGTTAAGGCGTGCATTAATGCACAAGCCGGCACTCGGTATTTTGTTCAATCTCATTAAAATCAGATCTTAGTTCTCGCTACTGCTAAACAAAGATCATCCCATTACGGGTCACGTCAGACCGACCTTGCGCGAACTTTGACTGACCATTTACAGCACTAATTTCAAATTGGCGACTACGCTTCGAAACATATTTTGACAAATTCTCAATTACAAATTTGAAACCTGAACAAAAGAACATTCTGGAATGGCCAGTAGATGGTCTAGATTGTATGAATTCAGTCGTTAAACCCGTAACTATCGTTCGGAATACCCCGTGTTAAAATTTTCGAGGTTGTATGATTAGAAATCACATTCCGATCTGGTAAGCGACGCTCTGATTGGTCGGATGAAAGGTCGTTCTGACGCGACCCCTAATGGGATGTCTTTAGATCTTTGTTTAGCGGTAGCGAGAACTAAGGTCTGATTTTAATGAGATTGTATTTTGTTGGTTTTGAATGTGCTTTCAGAAATGTTTAAGTCACGTTGAACAAGTGTTATTGTGAAACTTGTCATTTTGGACGCCCATGTGTCTTTATGTCTCAGTCGTATATTTTTTCTTTGGATAACATGAGCAGTTTCGCACATTATGTTAAATGTGGCTGCTTGTGCTAGTCTGGACTATAGCCATTTTCATCGTACTAGATACCATAACGCAGTTAAACATGAATAAGCTACTCAGACACAGTGCACCGAATCCGAGCCGACCAGACCTTGTTTTAGCCCAATAATGCCGAGCGTCAGACAGGGTAACAACAAATACCATTTTGAACGGTTTTGGGTATGACGCGGCCGGAGATCGACCCCGGACCTTCCGCTCTCCGGGCGGACGCTCCACCAATAGACCCCGGAGGCGGTCTCTACTCTTTTGGGGGGACAAAGTGTAAACTCAGCATATGCTTCTATGTTTTAACCAAAACATAGGACTTGACGAACTATTTGCACTTACCTTACAAGTTGAATGTTAAGTGCGCCACTTTCCCCCCTAACATTCTGCTTCCACGGTTCCACGACATGCTTAAAAAAACCCATATACCGATATATGGTCTCTTAAAAAACATGGTTGCCTGTTTGGAAAATATTCAAATGAAAAGCCCAAGCAGCCCAAGTAAATCATCAAACCTTCTTCATGGTCATATTTAGGTGTCTTTTGTTAATGAATGACAATTAATACAATTTTGATAACTGTATCCACATTTTTATCTTGTCCACTAGACTGACATTTAGTCCCAGAAATAAAGTTATCTTATTTAAAAATTAAATCTACCCAAAAAATTGAATAAAATCTAAATGGGGCCAGGAACAATCCTCAATCCTAGAGGTGAGGCAATCTAGACTTGCCAAATCATTGTAGACTTGAGTTGGACTCCTTTTTAAAATTATTTACAGGCTTCCGAGAGATATGTGATTGTAGGACGTTTCAGTCAATTACTTCCGTGCAATTCTTTGATATCTGGTGTGGATGACGTGTTATTTTTTGCCATTTCAAATACTTTAAGAAACCGTTGGAAATGGTTCGTCGGATAATCAAGACTGGTTTTATGTTTACTTGTACGGGGTCGATGTTGCTGCTGGTGGACTGAAGTCCCCGAGTTTCATCATAAGCTCAGTAGCATGTATATATGCTGAGTCAGGAAAGAAATGTTTAGGCCGAAATATTAAAACTGCCCTCCCCTGTGTTGCAAAATGAATATATTTCTGAAACGTTTTTTCTTAGCAACAGAATCTCTGCAATTGTTCACAGCAGACGTAATTCAAAGTTAACGTTTTTAGTTTCAACAAAATCAGCAAATGCACTATGGTGTGCCTGGATTTCTGAGCCATCACTTGATTGTCTGGTTTGGTTATATGCCGGCGTCGCATGGCAGGAGCACTGCTGTGTAGTGTCAGGCAACAAGCTCTACATTTGTATGCATATTGTTTGAGTGTCAGGTGGTACCGATAGGGCAGGACTTACCCTTTTTGCAATTGCAGTGGACGACAATAACTTTTGACATAAAACAGTTACAAAACATGTCTTAAGATGATCGATTTCGATCTCTACATTTCACCATGAATAGGTCACTTTGTAAACAATAGTGAATGTGTTTCGTCAGAAAATTATTACAAGAAACGATATAAGAAAATTGATCACATATCGTTTATAAATGTGGGCGAGTCTGGAGGCGTCATAATGAACGTCATGCGAACGTGAGGCAACATTTGAGTGTTGGTCTGTATGACTGCCAGAATGGCTGCCTCTGCGCATTGTCCTTGAAAGAAAACATACTGGCGCCAATAGTTGTGCCATCTAGTCCATGCTGGTCCACGTTTTCTTCCAGACTATAACGCCGCAGGTATAACTTCCCCCCACCAGCATACTTTAGCATAACCAGAATGCAATGACTAGCCACAATGAATTAACATGATCGGTAGACGTGTACGCCGACGTCAAAGTCCTTCCAAAGCGTAGTTCGGAGTTGTCTAGATTCCCTCCAGTTGTCATTGGGAGTTTGATTCGGACCATACCACGCCGTATAAACGAATGTTTGATCAGTGAGTGAGTGAGTGAGTTGGGTTTAACGCCGCTTTTAACAGTATTCCAGTTATATCACGGCGTGTCAGCTTAATGTGGGAGGAAAGCCCGAAGTGATGCAGGTCTCAGACGTTTACCACTTCGGTGAAAGCCACGAGCACGGGTATGGTGCTGACAAACTTAGAAACATAATCGGGGCGAACCGGGATTCGAACCCACAATCATAGGTTTCTGGCGTGCCCAAGGGACGCAACTCTGCACAGCGAATCGCGGCGCCTCAGACGACTGGGCCACCCGTGCCACCGAATGTTTGATCAAACGTTCATTTTTAAAAACCGTCTTTCTTTTTCTTCTTTATTTATCTAGTATCTGCTCACATGCAGTTTATTTGTTCCCCGACCATTCGATTCATATGCATTCCAGGCATCATACTCAACTCCCTGGAAAGTATACAAACCCAATGATGACAATCACTGGATTGTCTGGTTTAAACTCGATTATTTACAGACCGCCGTCATATAGCTTGAATATTGCTGAGTGCGGCGTTAAACAGCAAACAAACAAACCAACATGTTATATATTTGGACTTTTTGGTATGTGTTTCATCAAACACATTTAACTGAGAAACACTCCTTCCTTGAGTATAGATGGGCGTCTTTTGGAAATTGTTCTCTTTATTGATGAACTGTTCAGTTACGTACCTAAACCAGTCTCTACCTTTCTAAGCATGGTTATTTGTTTTAAATGTTTGCACTGTAAACTATGGTATCTCCGTTTAATAGCGTAAATCTATTTGACTTGTACTCTTATGACTTATAACATATATTTTCTCTTCTTTCATAACACTCTTAATCAATAATCTTCACCCCGCATGTTGTGATCAGCCAATACTTAGGTGGAAACGTCCCTTGTTGTAGAAAGCTACACAAAACAAGTCTTTGAATCAGATCGATAAAAACAGAGCTACGCTGAAACCGTAAACTCTTGGAGCTCCTGTCTACAAGCTGGGACCTTGTCAATGTCCCATGTGTAATATTATGTTCATGTATGTGCACGAAGAACGCATTAACAATATCGGGAGCGCTTTCTGCAGTTTAACGTTTCATTCGTTGATGTTTACCTGTGTTCGAAGGGACACACATTTCCCGCATATCAACAGGAAAGGTACAATATACAAAATACCATATCTCCACCATTGAAGAAATATAATAGTAAAGACTAAAAAATGAGACATAATTTGTTATAATAATCGGTATAGAGCTTGAAGTAATACATGTACGAGCATGTTAATAGCCAACTGCTAACGTGCATTGTTTCATATATGA